TTTGCTTGTGGCCAAGAGGAAGCCCCTAGTTCACATATGCAGACTGGGAGGCAGGAACAAGGAGGAACTGGGCCAAGGTGTCAGAGGAAAGCCATGCTTTCCCAGGCTCTCCAGCCAGCTCAGCCTACTGATTTCTGAATTCTGGAAAACTCTGCCATTTAGGATATAATAAATCACTAAGCAAAGTTAGGTGAGTTATTTGCATCATTGATTGTGAAATTCCACAGTCCTCCCTTCCCTGGGGCAGCCCGGTCTTGGGTCCATCCTCCCCTTTTAGCTAAATTTCTCAAGTTTAAGCAGCCACTACAGGCCGTCCACCAGGGGGCAGGAGAGGGCTGTGACCGAGGACACGGCAGCCCTGTCCGCAGGAGCCCCGCGCCCCGGCAGGCCCTTAATCAGCTAAGCCTCCCTTTCCTTATCTACAAAGGAGCAAAAGGACCCGGCTCCTAATGGGGCAGTGGGAACCGATGCACTATCCATGTAATACAGCGTGTTGCATGGTGTCTGGTGCACAGTAAGTGCCTGGTCCCCTCCGGCCCATCACTGGTTCTGTCCCCAGAGACGCAGCCTGTCCCCTCGGGTGGTCAAACTCAATGCCAGGCCTTGCACCTGGGCATAGAGGCCATGAGGAGGGCCCTGAGTTCTGAGGGCAGCGCCTACCGCTCTGTTGATGTGCTTCCGGACCAGGAGGTACAGCAAGGGCAGCAATATGTATGCCAGCATCTCCCACAGCTTCCCCGTCAGCAGCATCCACAGGACGTGGTCCTTGGCCTCTAAGTCAATCCAGCACCAGCCCACAGACACGTCCGAGGCATCGTAGCCAATCTTCTTCAGGGCGACGGCTGCCACAGTGATGACCAGCGGGACGCCCCAGCTGAGGAAGAAGGAGAGAAAGAGGCATTGGGGTCAGGCCATGGCTCCCAGCAATGTCAGCCCTCACAAAATGACAGAGGACGCCCTTCAGAAAGGGAATGGTGCTCTCCGGAGCCCGGATGGCACAGTAGCCCTGGAAAATAAGGGATAGGTGTTGCCCCAGGAGTCTGGCTCTACTTTAGAATTCTTCAGGGACTGGCATTAGAATGGAGTGGTGTGGGGCAGCCAGCTTCCAGCGTGTGCCCAGCTGCTTTTGCATACACGTGTGTACAGAGTTCGAGACCAGGCTGGCCAACATGGTGAAACCCTGTCTCTACTAGAAATAAAAAAATTAGTTGAGTGTGGTGGTGCACGCCTGTAATCTCAGCTACTTGGGAGGCTGAGGCAGGAGAATCTTTTGAACCCAGGAGGTAGAGGTTGCAGTAAGCTGAGATTGTGCCATTGCACTCCAGCCTGGGTGACAGAGCGAGACTTCATCTCAAAAAAAGAAAAAAGTTTTGTATACCTGTGTGTACAGAGCACATGGCCAGGCAGGTGTGTGTGTGTTTGCTGCTGTCATGACTGCTGTGAGTCACGTCCTGCTGTCCCAGGGTTCAGGCCCGTGGTGCAGACACTGGTGCTGCGTGGGGCCTGCCTGGTTTCTGTTCCGGGAAGCCTTGGGCACCAGCGTGCAAACACCTGTCCATGCTCGTGCAAATGTGCCACAAACCATCAGCGCCCCTTGGTCAGCCCTTGGGTCTAGAGGTGCACACGTCAGGGGCTTAGGGTTGCCTGGGCGGGGAATTCCAGGGTTCTGCTTACCTTCAGCCGGCTCTAGGAGGGGGAACGTGAGCTTTGAGCAGCACGTCCCTTCGGCCTTGAGGACTTCTTACGCAATGGCGGGGAATGGAACCTGGCAAGGGTCAACGGGGACCTCTGAAAGCATAAAGCTCAGGTAGGGGCCCCTCCAAGGGCAGTGTTGGGCTCAGTTATCTTTTTTCTTTTTTTGAGATGGAGTCTCGCTCTGTCACCCAGGCTGGAGTGCAATGGCACAATCTCAGTTCACTGCAACCTCCACCTCCTGGGTTCAAGCGATTCTCCTGCCTCAGCCTCCCAAGTAGCTGAGATTACAGGCGTACACCACCACGCCCAGCTAATTTTTGTATTTCTAGTAGAGACAGGGATTCACCATGTTGGCCAGCCTGGTCTCGAACTCCTGACCTTAGGTGATCCACCTGCCTCAGCCTCCCAAAGTGCTGGGATTATAGGCATGAGCCACCATGTCCGGCCCAGGTGCAGTTTTCTAGA